TTTTTTGTTTAATTTGGTTCATGATTTGGGGGGGGGGGGGGGTGAGGGGAGTGACCACAGGTAATTATTGACTGTCTGGAAGGTTATAAAATCTCTATCTTTAATTCTTTAATTATAACATACAAGAAAGAAGGAGGTAGGATCCTTACTCACAACTTGCAATGTGTGAGCTGGAGGCGAGCCAATTTCTCAGAAAGCTCAAGGTTGTAGGCACTGGAATGTGTTTTCCTGAGCAGGTCTTAGCATACAAAAGCTTCTGTGCCAAATTTTTGCCTGCTGCCTACCACTGAGAACAGACTAATGCTAACCTGACTCTCAGCGAAACCTGAGTAAGTTCCGCACAATTTGTTGCCACGAGATGTGAGCATATGTATCTACTGTGAACTTGTGAAGAAAGCTTCTGCTAGCATAAAGCAGGCAAAAACTACTGGATGAATCCCAGAACACCCAGGGCAGCAGAATTCCTTGAACCACACAGCTCACAGACTTTGTGTGCTAGGTATCATATTGTGTTCAGAGTTTTTACCTCAGTCACCAACATGGGATACTTACAGAAATTGCTTTTTCTGTACAGCATTGCTAAGCACAGTTTGTGCTTCCAGGTGCACCAATGCCATCCCAGCCACTCGAGGCAGATGAGGATTTGCAGCTGTGGAAAGAGGTAAGCATCATCTGCCATATAGTATACTCCCATTTCCTCTGTGTCCATCCTTGCTGCAGTCACACCTCACTCTCCAGTACTTCTCTTGCACAGAGTTCAGGTGCTTCTTCTTCCAGTTCTGCTTCTCCTCTACATCTCCGATTCTGACATCACCAAAGAGGTGAAACAACATATTTTCCAGGTTTTCTGAACAGTTGTTCCAGAAAGATTGAGGCTGGATGTTGGGATGTCATTCTGGGAAAAGACTGTCCTGGCTCAATGGAGAGCTATGTTTGCTAACAGTTGTCATTTACCTATCAATGGCCAGGCAGCCACTACCCCTTGAAGCAACAGTGTCCTGTTTGGTAGTTTTATAGTCTATACCGAATACACAGGAATTGTTTCAACTCATCTAGTCTTACCTCTCACTGCTTCTGTTCTGCACACAGGGCTGGGACACTGTATTTAATCCTACTCAGCCCTCTCAATTTACTAGGTAAAGGATAATCTACTGTCTCAATTAGCCTCTCTAACATTTTGCTGCTGATCGTTATCACAACTTCAACTCTCATATTTGAAATGAAGATTTGTTTTGACTCTAGAATGTGACATATGTGTTAACACAGGCTCTTACCTGCTGTTTTGGAACAGCTGGAGTGCCAGGGCATACCATGCAGAGAGTGTTTAGCCTGCAACTTGCATGCCCTGGCCTTGATGTAGCCTTCAAGTATTCTGTTGATATTTAATTTCATAGCTTCTGATAATAGACAGCAAGTGACTCATAGGAGTACAGATACAGACTTGCATTACAGGAAACACTTCCCTTACTGTCAGCTCCCCATAGCTCATATTGGAAATACTGACTCAGAAATGAAAATATTTCTAGACTGGCACTTGAACGAGCCCTAGTGATATTTATCTCCTGAGAAAAAGTATGATCCTGACACCTGTAAGAAGTTTCTGAAAATGAGTTATTTACATTTTGAATTAAAAATGCTGTTTTATACATTTCTGCATTTCTTGCTAAGATTTGCTACTTGCAACACAGGATTTGTCTCTGTAGTGACTGGAAACAAGGCAAAGTTCCTCTTGATTTTGGTGGGAAAAAAAGCTACGCATAAGATACTGTGTCAAATTACATAATACAAACAGTATAAAATGCACTATTATAGCAATAATAATGCAGGACTGGAAGGGGTCTAAGGAGAGAAAATTAGATGCACTAAATCAACCTGATTACAGAATCATACTAGTTCAGTGGGCTTTCTTGGAGTGAAAATAATCAGTTCTTGCCTGTTTTTACTTTACTAGTGGATCATTCAGGACAAGTACTGCCTCTAAACGAACTTAGTTTTTTCCAAGTGTGACTCTTGAGTTGATAAATACGGGAACTTCATAACTAAGTACTGTGTTCCTTTACTTGTCTCTCACATCCTTTTACTCAACCCCAGAAAATTCACAAGCTCTCACCCTCAGGCCACATTTCTGACATAGGAGAGAAAATTACAGAAAAGGTGCACCAAGGATGATAGAAACTATAATTTTTTAAATTTTTATTATCTAGAAAAAGGAATTAACAGAAGCTGTGGCTTTTCTTCAGCCCTTACTTTGTCCATGCAGGTTTTAGCTGAGAGATACCTTGCTGTGCATGGTGTTGAACACAAAGCTGTCTCTGGCTTGTCCTGCTGCTGAATTACATTAGTCTCTAAGAGTCACCTACAGCTACAAATAAACAAACAAATAAATAAAAACAAAAAATCCCTCACCAAGGAGAAACAACAATTTTTAAACTTAGGCTTCCAAAATGACTTCAGCTTAGTTTATCTCATTTGCTGCTGATTCCTCCCTCTGCGTTTTCTTACTCTGAAAGTACTGAAGCTGAACTAATGAGACAAATAAATGCAAGATGAAAGGAAAAGAGGACAGGGAGGATGTGTTACCAACCAAAACTATTTGAAAGGGGAATTCTGTGAGCTATTAGCTTTCCCACTGTCTCTGCTAATGCTTTCTTGTAGATTGTCTCAAGAGAAATGAATCATCACTTGTCTCAAAGTACTCGGATCTGCATTATTTGTTTAGTACTTTTTTTCATTTAATGTTTTCATTGCTAAAGAGTGCTATTTAGGGCTTTTAACCTATAATAAAATCATAAGACCCATTGGATTGCATACTGTATTAAAAAAAAAAAAAGGGCAAAAAACCCCCACCTGTTCTTTACGCAATCTGTGAACAAGATGATTGGCAAAGGTTTTTGGCATCTGGACCAATAGTATCAAATACTCAGTGGAAAAAAATAGTGCATACCAATGGTGGTTGGTATAACTTTAAACCTATGTAACGAAAAATAAAGACACTCTTCTTCATTTTTATTTAACAGAGCATCTTCAGTTGGAATACTGGAGATTTTTTCTTCTCCTTACAGAATACTTTGAACTTCCAGTACTGGTAATACCATTTTCATGAATTGAAATGTCTTTCATTCCATTTCTTCTCCCTCTCCAATTAGTTACTGCTTAAAATTATTCAGAGGTATGGGATTCTTTGGAAAAGAGACAACAGAGAGAGGAGGTGATTAGCTGTCTATACAAGGCTATGTAGGAATCATTGATTCATTGCTTCTTCCACGACAAGATTATAATAACACTTAACCAAGATAGCTTTGAAAAGACTGATCAAGACAAACAGAAGTAGTATTTCATGCAGTGCTTAGGAAACTCTACAGTGGCTCAGAGAGAGACTGATCAAATTCACTGCACAGAAATCTACTGAGCTTTATCACAAAGGACTTACTTCTGACTCAAAGTGCTTGCACTAGAGATTGCTGGTGGTTGGAGAGCATGGGTTTTACCCAGCCATTGGTCTTGTCTTAGGTTTTTCCTTGGGTGTCAACATTTGGCCATTTTTGGAGATAAGATGTAGAGCTAAATGGACATTTGTTCTGATAAGATGAAATGGAATTTGGAACTTCTTGGTTTGGTTTGTGGATTTGTTTGGTTTGTAGATTTATTTGGTTTGGTTTTGTGTCTGTGTGTCACATTCTATTCTGTGATGAGGTGTCTGATTTAATCAACAGTGACTTCGTCTACAGTGCTCTTTGAGTTCAGACTCCCTGAAATATATTGACCGTATCTCTTAATAGTACTGTGATCTGGGAAGCACCTCCTTTAAACAAAATCTTGTAAGGCTTCTCTTTTGCAAAAGAAATAAGTGCAAGCCTTGTATGTTGGCTGATGGTGACTTGCACAAATAGACTGACAGGCATAAGATGTGCTGGCACATATAATAATTCAAGAGATGCCTGTGTCATACACCTGCAGGGATGCTGGAATACAATTGGAAGAGTTGTATTTGAGGACTGCTCATTGAATCACTTGCTTTAATTTTTATATTTTCTTTCAGTTTTGTATAATCTGAAATATCACAGAAGAGATTTAAGTTCATACTCCACACCCTAGATGCTTAAAATAATAATTTAAAATATTATTTATTCCGAGAAGGGGACAAATAAGAGGAACATGAGGGGGTAAGAGACTAAAGGATGCAGATATCTATGTGTTTGTTCAGAGCAAGCAATTATAATATTTTATTATTTTTTTTTAATGTGGCTAATGCCTTTTTTTCCCCTTGAATGCAAATTATTTCATGAATGTACCTAAAAGGGTTCCTTAGAGTGAACAAGCCTGCCAAGCCTTTAGGTGTACTGAACTGTTTCTGAAAATATAAGTATTTCCCTGTTTTTTGTTGATTTGACTTCTTAAAGAAGGACTGTGTAAACTTTTACAGATAGAGGATGCATGTTCTGCCTACCTGTCCTCAGATTCTCAGCCACAGGTGAGTCAGACAGAGGTTATTTTGTTATTTTTATACTATTTGTTATATGCAGTAGGAATGGAAATGCAATACCTGACTTAATGTTTTCTTTACGTTAGGCATCCAGCACACTGGAAGAACTTTGTTTTTTGGTCATGGGATTTCTCCAGAAGCCACAGGTAACACACATGAAAGACTACTTAGCATTTCCAAAAGCTGATCTCTCAGTGTACAAGGAATTCTGAGGACCAAGTATCTGAAGTGTCACTCAGTGCTGAAAGTAATATCAGTTCTTATTCTGCAACATTGTGTCCTAATCCAACACCTATTAAAGACAACAAGGAGACTCTGATGTTTGGGAAAAAAATCTCCAGGTTGGATACAAGTTTTTAGGTGTTTTTATTGCTGTTGAGTAGATAAATGAAGATCTCTCAATGGAGAAAGAGATGTACTTAGGAGACTCTAAGGGTATACAAAGGAGCATCCACTAAACCTATATATCTTCTAGCAGGGAGTAATCAGTGTTCTCTACAACGTTTGAAAAGAGTAGCTACATGGATAAGCAAAGATATGTGTTACACTGTCAATTAGGACAATATTCCAATTCAGTACTGATGAGTTTATAATGGGAATGAAATTGTCCATTGTTGTTTTTTTTTTGGTGGTGGTTGTTTGTTTGTTTTAACAAATAAAAGCCTCTGTACTGATTATTATTCCCACAGGGCTTAGATGAAAAAGACAACACCAAAAGGGTAAGATTTCTATGTATATTTTATGATCCCACTAAAATTGTCACGAAAATCATGACACCTTTCCCCACTTTTAAAACCCCACTTTTAATTTTTTTGAACAGTTCTTATTTCATTATTCTAAGAGTCATGACTCAGGCAACTCAGACATCAGGGTAAGTGGCATAGCACCTCCTTGTGAGTCCATGTGTGCTGGTACACAAAACCAAGGTAAAGTTCCTTTTTCCAGTAGTCTCTCCAACTGTGTAGCAAGCTCAGAATGGGAATTTTCATGTGTAAGACAAATAATGTGTTGTAATAACATGGGAGTGGATCATCAACACTGTACATGGGTGGAAAAAAAAAGACCAAATATTCATGTAATCCCAACTGCATCTTAATCTTGTAATTTCAATATTTAAGATTAAGTTCAAGTGCTTTTTTTTTTTTGTGCTTTTTTTTTTCTGATACTGGAACATAACATATGCAGTGAAACAATGCTGATTTATAGATGATGAGAACAGGACCATAAATATTAAGAACTCTTAATTACTTTTACTGATTACATTGTATCTATTTATTCGTGCATGTAATAAAATACGTATCAGGCAAAGTAGTGAAGTCTCGCTCAGTTTTAGATTATACTTTAAATTAAAAATAGGATTTAAAAAAATAGCCTAGTATTGTTGCTGTAAAAATATTCTCATAAACCAAGAAATAAACTACATGTGATCCACCCTTGCTTTTATGGTGCAAACATAATCTGTTATTTCTGTCCATTTATGTGTTTTTCTGTGCACCATAGGATTTTAAGAAAGCTACATGTATTCATGTTTTATCGCTTCCTAACAATCATTTTTCTATGCTAATATCCATTTTTGCCTTGTTCTTTACATTTCTTCAGAGATATGTCTTATATTGCTGATATTGGGGTCAGTGTTTGCATGACAGAGCCACTCTGGAGGTTTTAATGGTAATCAGGCACAGTGAAATGAGCTATTTGTGCCTCTGCTCCTGCTTGAGAGGTTCCTACACCCACCTTTGTCCCCATCCTGAATATCTTTGCTCCATCTGCCCCCAGAAATTACTGCTTTCTTACTTCTTCTGGTTTACCTGTTGAGTTGACTGTTTTCTAGCCCAGTTCTCAGAGATACTAACTTAGGTGAGATCCATCATTACTTGGCTTGATTAGCACCTCTCCACTGACTGCAAGACGGAGCCCAGGTGGCCAGCTGGGATGCTCTTTAACTCTTCCACTCAAATTAGCCTTCTCTTTTTTTAGATATTATGATGCCACATTGCCTACCTTAGGCAGACAGTGCAAAATGGGCTCAAGTAGGCAAGTTAATTTTACCTATTAAGCATATTAACACTTAAAATCTTGTTGAACACAAGGAATTTCATGATTGGAGCTTGTCTTTTAGGTAGAGTGCCCAATGCCACAGTTACGAATTTCACTTGAGATGGTTCCTTCTTGCACACTGTTTTCTAGACGTAAATTAACTTTATATTCCTGCAATTTAAGTTATTTTGAAGTAAAATTAACTTTTCAGTACAATGGAGGTTGAAGCTGCTCACTCCCGTAGTAGATATCGGTAGAAATGTTAGTGGGAGTACTGGGAAATATTCTCTGTACCACTAGTAGAGACTGAACAAAGTCTGAATAAGAGCAATTGCCTGGGCAAGAAGTCTGTAAACAGTTCTGAACTTTCAATGAGCAGAGGTGAAGATGCATAGCTTTTCCCTCCATTCCTGTCTGAGTCACAGCATCAATATAAATCTGGGTGCTAGTTTGTTATCAAGTCAGAATGTTAAAAAACAATAAGTTTCTCAATTAACATCCTCAGCCCTTTTTTTGGTGCATTTTGGTCCATAAGCCAATATGGTGGGAAGGAACTTTTTTTGCCTCTTAAGGTCCAAATGCTATTGTTGCTCATGTGTCTGTGTTCATGTCCTCTCAGTCATCTGTCCTGCATCCTTTGCTGCAACTTGTTCCCCAGCTTAATGAGAGAAGGCTGAAGAGATACAAAGTGGACGTATGTAATCTTAAACTCTGTATGCTTTCATTCTCACACCTTGTGATTCATGAGCTCATCAGACATTGTTAACTCCCATGTTTTCAATGAACTCTTAATCCTATGAGTATGTATGTCAGCTTTCATCTAGTCATGGTTGGCGTTGGTTAAACTATCTACTCCTGTCTTCAGATCACTGCATAATCTCAACTGTATGCCCTGAGTCACTTGGAACTGGGCATTATTGTGTCCACTGTTTAAATCCCATCTCAGTATTATACACATATACTACAGTACAGGCAAAGAGGTAACAACTAAGGGAAGTCCATACAGTTGTCAGCTGCATGGGGAAGAGAAAAAGGGAATGAATGCTTAGTGAGCAATGACGAGTCTGTTTTTGACTGTGTACTGTTTTTCTGACACTCCTTCTGCAATGTAAATGTGGAGAAACGATGTGCAAATTTATGGCACATTCTTTGCTGATTTATGTAGAGCAAAGAAACTCAGTATAATAGTATACCTGGTGAACTAGAGTAAAAATTAAAAGCAAGACTCAAAAATTATGTAGTTTAAACCCTACTTCCTTTGAAAGGTTCCTTGGATTTAAGCTGCTCTGGTGTTTGGAAGTGATGGGAGCCATCCTGTTTTACATAGTGCTTACAGCATTAGAGTAGAGCATGAAGTGATTTCTTTCTATGGCAACTCAGGTTATGATCATTACCCAAGAGATCACAAAATCCAAGTTTTTAATTAAGAAACACCATCCTTGTTAAAGAAATACCATCTACATTTTATGTTCTGATAAGCACAAGATTTGAACTATTTTGTTTCACAACTGGCTTGTCTCCCCACCTGCAGGAAAGACACCTCACTCATATATCTGATATTAACAGAAGCAATGAAAATACTGTGATTATGTGTATATGTTCTCTAATCATGAAGGTCTCATTAAGGCAACTGAATACTTCAGGCTTTGCACTTGTTACATTTAAGTGGAATTTCTATTAAATTTTTTTCATTGTTTATTGCCCCTTCTTGCTATATGGATCATTGGACAGTTTTTTTCTCAATGTGTACGGTAGAGACAGGATAGAATATCCTAAGCACTGGTCTTTTTTAGGGAATTAATGAGAGAGCGGTGATTGTGATAAAACTCAGAACCATCTGGGCTGTTATTCCTGGAGGAGTCTTAAGTATTTCTGACATTTAAACTTTACGTTGTCGTCCTTCTGCAAAGCGCAAAGACCATTTCTACTTTGTCTGTAGGGACTCCACTACCATGAAGACACTTTGATTGTGTCTGGGTAATGAAATTTGGAAAGTTGGAGGCAAAGGCTGCTCATCATTACTAGTAATATTCAAAAGCAATTGGAACTGAGTCAAAACTTGAGGTGGAATTTGGCCCTCATTCATGTTGTATGCTATTTCTACATGACGACATGAACTTCTTGTTACCGACATATATATATATATATATACACACACACACACACACACATATATAAAGCATGCCTTTAAAGGGCAAGACTGTATGTAGAGTAGTACGAATAAATACTTTTAATATATACCTCTCTATATGGATTCATATAAAGAGGTATATATTAAAAAACCTCTCTACATGTATTCATTTACAAGAGAAGATATTATTTAAAACACTTTTTTTTTTTTTTTTTTTTTTTTTTTTCAGGAAGAACTTCAAGGACCTGGAGGGATTCAAAGCAGAGGCTACTTTTTCTACAGGGTATGGTTTGTTTGACTTTTTCTTTTCATTTCGTGATGGAGGTTACGGAACAAGAAGTAGAGAGACCAGCGAATTGCAGTAAAGAATTACTGTGACTGAGGAATCTTTTACCAGAAAGACCATCCCACCTTACAGCACTACTCAAGATCTGCTCCAGGCATCTTCTTGGATTAAAATAGAGGAAGCTTTTGTATGTATCCTTGTGTCTGTATATACATGATACCATGCTATGCCTTAATAAGCCATGGGTTATTATGTATATAATTCTCAGAAAAAGTTATAGAAAATCCAGCATCTTGGACTATCCTTGTAAAGCATTGTTCAACATGGTACATTTGCATGGAATAGAAATACACTGCTGTGCTTAAACACTGTATCAAAACAGAAAGTGGCCATGTTGAACTCATTTCCAACCTAAATGATTCTATGATTCAATTAAAAGACAGCAAGCTTTTGTAGTTACACCTCTTATGTATCAGGCTTCAATCTTTAGAGCTCTTGCCACAGGCCAGAGCTGCAGGTGACATTAGTATCGGTCCATTCATGATGCTAGAGCAAAAAGCAAATCCTTACTAACTTTAGTAGGAAATTTTGTATTAGCTTTAGCAGAAATTATATCAAGTCCCTCAGTAGAGTAAAATATTTCTGAGAATGACTATGGTGAAAAGGGACAAACTCTTTGGCCATATTAAAGAACACAGTCTAAAAATAAAACAACGAGTTACTTAAATGTCTGTTAATTGCAACAAACATTTATAATGTTAAAACAGTCTGTAAGCATGTTTTAAGAAAATGCAAAAGAGAATTAGGGATAATGGTCTCTTTTACTTCTCCCCCTTATAAAATCATACAAGATAGGCATTATTCATTCTTCAATCTATATGTGGTGAACTTTACTGTAGAATTTTCCAGGTATGGATATATATTAAACAGTGACTGGTCTCAGTTTAGCTTTACTGATGATCACATTGACAGAGTGGAGAAGTTTACCAGTTTCTGTACATACCAAGTTGGGTGGGCCTTTGTTATTGAAACCAGTCGGTTTTGTAGAGTGCTTACTGAATATTTGTCTTTCAGCCACGCAATGGAAGGAGATCAGTGGATTTTCGCTGACGAGGTACTCACTATTTTTATTAATGATCTACATTTAAATTAGCTTATTTTTATACAAACATAAATAAATATGCAATATTTATGTTGGGAACAGAAAGCCTTTAACTGTGTAGTCAACTCAGTTTTCCACAAATTTCTCACGGTGGTGTTAAATGCATGTAACTTAAGATGAAGTAAATAAAAGCTGTAGGTACTCAGTTCCTAGAACATAGAACACAGAGGTGTTTCTGACTGCAATAACTGGAAGATATCCGAGGTTTGTAAACAATTTGGAAAGTTACTAATTATGGTAATTATATGTCAGGAAGAACTGATTCAACTCCCTGTCAAATACATTCTGTGAAGTAAACTGACATCCTGGGGGTAATCACCTAATCTTACACAAAAAAACCCCACTGAAACTAAGTACAGGCTTTTGGAGTGAGAGAAAAAGTATGTCAATAATATAATACTCTATTTTCTTACGTATTTTATACCTCTATCATATTGTCAGTATTTAGTGTTATACTATGCCAACAGGTAATGTTTTTTCTTATTTTTCAGGATTTTAGATTCCTGATCTAGAACTAATGCTGCAGAAATGCTGAGTACATGGACATACTGTTTTCCTGTCATTACCAATGTACAATTAAAAACCACTAGAATATAAATGTTCTTTAAAATTAGATTCTGTTAAGAATTCAAAAGTTTCTTTACTTTCTTGATTATATTACAAGCATATTACATTTGTTTCCTAGAGTTATGATGTTTACACTGTGTCATGCAACTGTAAAAAGTTAACGTGTGCATGCAACAGACATTGCCTCTAACAACACTGTTCTGTACGTTTATTTTCCTTTATAAATAAAGGCACTTAGTTGTTTTAATGAGAATCTTTGCAATGTAGACTACTGCATTTTTTCAGAATACATTGTAAGTGATTGATGCAGTCTCAATAATCACAGTTTATCTAGGCAGGCCAGACAAAAGTGTGGTTTGGTATTCAAGATGATGTTTTCTACGCCTGTACTTTCTTCACTGTAGCCTGTGGACTTCTGGCAGTCTGCAGTGTCAGGTGTCAAGATGAGTGCTCTGCAGGTGGCCTGCACAACTATATTGGTGATAAAAGAGTTTGGCAGTCTTCAAAATGCCTTTGGTTAATAATGTTTGGTTGCCTGAAAAAAAAATTATTGTGTCTTTCTCTATGGAGAAGGAATTGCATTGAACGAAGTGGGGAAATCTGATCTTGACTTATGTCAGGAAATCATACAGTAAAGCACTTATGTGCATACGTATCACTTGTGTTTCTTCAGGAATTCCCTTGGTGGAGCAGTGCTTTTAGTTCTGTGGATTTTTGGATACCCTGGCTGTCAAAAGTAAACCCTGAGAAATTATACCACAGCAGAATCTTCATTTGTGTTTTTCCTTCTCCAGACCCATTAGTGACCATCTAATTAGATTATAGAGCTTCTCTTTTATTTTTTATTTTTCCAATTGATTATATCAATTACTTTTCAAACAAAGAAGGAGAAAACATCACTTATTCTTAATTCTTTATCCACGTTTTCATATGTGGATAAAGTTAAAATAAGACTGCTAGTATATTTGAAGGACTTGGTGATGTAATAACCATGTTTTTAGAGGTCGAATGTTCCATAAAATAATTTTCCAAATGCTATAATTAATTATTTGCAATGGAGATGTAATTTCTAGTCCAAAATCTGGATATTGGATCTTTACGGAAAGGACCATTTAAAGTATTCTGGTGTGAATCTCTGCTTTATCTTAGCAATAAGGCAGTAGATGTTTGCAAAGCCAGAGTACTTTGCTGTTATGAATGTTGGTAGCAGTACCCCTCCTACAGTCTGTGACCCCAGGCAATAGAAATGTTGGAAGAACTGTCATGAACCACTGTCTCTTCTTTTCCACTTTTTTTCACTTCTTTTTCATGCCAGAGACACTGGCAGACGTAAGAGTCTTTTTGCAAACCCATGTAATTAACTTCCTTCTGAGTGATAGCATGGTTCTATTTACTCTCTTTGTGGATTTTCCAAGGATGTTTTCATCTAAAATGCAAAGCAATTCTTTTACCTTTGTGAAATTCCTTGAGGCATGTGTAGCACTTGACCATTATTAGAATTTGTTTCATTATATTCATGCTAAATTCCGTGCAAGAGTCTTGGTGAATAAAAAGGAGGCAGCTGTCGACTGGAAGGCCAATGTAGTATCTGTGGGCATGGCAGTAATCCAATGGAAATCCTGGATGTTTCCTCAGGTGAAATTTTTGTTCATTTGATGCTGCATTATTATGGAATTATGAATAGCACTAAATGTTTCTAATATAGACATATTTATACAGGGACTTCTTTACAGAGGTTTCCAAACAAGTCATTATTTCAGGGAGAAAACTGCCATGATTTTTGATTGACAACCTGTTTTAAATCTGCTTTACTACTCCTAATCCATATTCAAGGCCTCCTAGTGTGTAATTCTAGAATTCCAACAGCAGGCCAGTTACAATAAACAAATTATATTAATGTGATAATTTCAGTAGAAATTCAGGCTTGCAAATAGCATGCAGTTCCTTTATGTTAACAGTTTAGTTAAAATTACCAGTATGTAGACACCACCTACAGAAGTCCTGTGCTATAAACATAGTCTATGAAGTAGCTTATGTTGACATATTAATATTAATAGTTCATTTAAAACAAAAACATCTTTTGCTTTATATTCTAGACGTGCTTGTACATGTTTATTCACAGTGTCAATACCTTATTCTTAGTAGTGACGTAGAAATGCTAATACAAAACCATGCTTCTCTAAAGCTGTGTTTCTTTAAGGGTGTTTAAGTAAGCAGTGTATTGTTTTGGGTTTCTGAACTAGGTTTCCAAATATCTTTTAGACAAAATTTTAGCTGATATTTTGGAGACTGATTATTTAATCTGTGCTTTCATTTTGAGTTCCCTCCCTCCTCCTCCCTTCATCCCTCCCTCCATCCCTTTCTCCCTCCTCTCTGCCCTCTTCCCTTCCCTGCTTCCTCCTCAGAAGTGAAAAAAGACAAATGAAAATTCCTGCTAGAGAATATTACCTTCAGGTATTACAGCCTCTAAAGTACTGGTTTCCTTTTGTTATATTCTTAATATATGCCAAAGTGAAAAGGGTTGGTTTTGATTTAAAAAAAGAGCACACAAGACTGCTTTGTTGATTTGTTTGTGTTTTGTTTTTAATAATGTTAAAGCAGGATCCAAATGAAGATACTAAATGGAATGACATACTGAGACATTTTGGAATTCTTCCTCAAAAAGAAAAAATGAAAGGTGAAAATGAAGAAATTCTTTTACACTTGTAGAAAGCAGTAGGCAAGTAAAATTTAAAATACATGCCATTAGTATGGTAAATTTGAAAAGTAGAGATGTTTTCCATAATGCTTTTTATAACTCAAATATTGTACAATAATATTTTTATTTTAATTCTTTTCACTTGGTTATTTTAAAAAGGATTCTGAATTAAATGCACAACACAGTTAGTGACAAACACTATGACATGTAACAAGTACAGGTAGCTCATTTCCATAATTTCACAAAGGAATTAGTCAGTATAAGCAAGGGTCACATTCTGAAGTGTTCCAGTCCTGCATTTCTGTATTTTCCTGTATAGTTACAGTTAAACATTTTTTTCTCTCTCTCACCCAGAGTTACGCCAAAGTTCAGTATTTTCACATATTAGTACATCTTTTTCTTTTCATTACTTCCATGTTTGTGTAATATTTTTGTACATTTTAAATATTTGTAGACACTTGTGAGAGCAAAAGGTGACATTTTTTTGTATGTTGTTTGTAGTGAAACCGTATGAAAAAATTAATCTTGAGGAACTGAAGGAACCTGAAGAAGACTTTGAAGAGGCTGATAGAAATTTCTATCCAGATTAACAGGGCATGTGTCACAATTATATATGTACATGCTCCTGAAAAAAACCCTCAGAATCTTTTGAATAGTAACGTCTGCTGACTGATGCCGTTGCCTTTTTTCACCTTTGCCAGCGGAAAGACAGAACTCACATTACTGTCCTACTTCCTCTTGATTGCCAGTGGCAAAAAGAAGGCATTTACAACATAATTTACGTTGATATTTTGTTAAAACAAAATTATTCCCCTTTAAAAGTACTTAATTTTGTCTGAATGGCGGATATTTAAATAAAAATAATAGAAGGGGCCACAGTGAAAACTACTGTTACATGTCCTCAGGTCAGCTGAAGATACACTGCACTACAGCATTGTATGTTGTATGTTTCAAGTGTTGGATACTCAACACTTACTGAGCAGTGGCACGTTTCCCAGGGAGGCTGTGGAGTCTACAGTCTTGGAGATACTCAGATGATGTCTGGACACATTCCTGGGCATCCTGCTCAATGCTGACCCTGCTTGAGCAGAGGGGTTGGATCAGGTGATCTCCAGAGATATCTTCCAACTCAGCCATGCTGCAGTTGTGTAATTCTGTGATATACAATGTGCTGTTCTTAGGCATAACTGTGGCACAATCTTATTCAGCTATTTAATAGGAGTACACCAATCATTTCACTTGTGATATCAGGCAGAGGCAATATGTTTTATTAATTGAGGTTTGAAAAACTTCTGCAACTTGTATGGAGACATAGTAGTTTTAGCTATACTGGACATTCATATATATAAATATATATATTGTAGGTATTCTACAAAGTATTCTGCTGAGTTCTGCAGAGCTGTAACTAAGAAAAACTGAGACATACAGTATACACAGAATAAAAATGCTAATAGAATCAAAACCATTTCCTCTGTCTACATTATACCTGTACTTACTGCTTTTGCATTGTGAAAATGACTAAAATAATTCAAGTGTTGACACTGCATATCTAGTGCTCTATTATCATAGTAACATTATAATTCATATAATTATGTGGAAGCTGTGAACCTAAAACATCATGCATTGTTGCTAGAGTATAATAACACTGGACATACATAATGTAATCTTTTTTGAAAAAGCCACTTGTGTAGTGGATTTCAGTTAGTAAAATTAATAGCTGGTTCAGCAAATGTCAGTGAGGTATCTTCCTTTTCTACCTTCTAAATAGTTTTACAGATGAAGACTGCCATCTACTGTTTTTACATTCTGATTTCCATGAATTATTTTAATATTATCTCATAAAAATTAGTATGAGTAATGGTAGTTCTTCCTCAAACTAATCTCATTTTCAGAATCAGAAAAACAGATAATACCTGTTTTTATTTTTTCTGGCTTTGTCTCAAATGACAAACCCTTGTGCAACATGCTTGTTACCCAGGTTTCCTAAATGCAATACTGAGAAACATAAAACTAAGAAAATGTATTTCAATGTTATCTTTCTGAATAAAGATTAGCATTAAAGCCTTTCTGGCTCTGAAATTGTGTTAGAAGACCTTGAGATAAGGGGTTATGCAAAGCATTTTTTAAAGTAATTGAGATAAATGCTCTAGATATTATTCTAAAATTAATTTGAAATGTTATAAATGCTTATTTTTATTATTGCCTTTTAATTGCGCAGCAATGCTTGCAAGAATAGAAGTATCATCAGAGGAGGCAAAAGTATGGGGAGCTAAGAGAAATTTGTGGAGAGCAGTATGTACAGGAAGTTACAAATGCTCCAGAGGATGTTTGGGTCATAATTCATCTTTATTGATCAAGGTAATTACTTGACTGTTTAAGATGTTCAATAGAGAGAATTGAACTGACAATTAAAAATCAATACCAAAAGACATTAAATAAAATAGACTAATTAAATAGCAGTTGTTTGGAGGTAGTGGAATTAAGGAGTATGGGACCTCCTTGATACATTAATTCATTTTTTGGAATGTCCCCTCCAACGCAAACCATTCTATGATCCTGACACTGAAACTGCCTTACCTGTCACGGGCCACCAGAGGGCGATGCTGGAACTCACCGCGGGTGCCTCGGCTAAACCAGCGTCTTGAACTTCAGTCCACTACAAAGACCCCAACTTCTGAAAGGTTAAAGGCCTAGAGGGGAAGGAACAAAACACAACAACAACAAAAAAACCAAACAAAACACCCCACAAAACAAAAAACTCTCTCTTTTTTTTTTTCTCCCCCTTTAACTGAGATTTCTATGGTGATTGTATTGCAAATAATGGCTATGAAAGTAATGAACAGATCTGTAGTGGTAATACGACTGTACAAACATTTCTATGATGTTTCTTAGATTTTACAAAAAGAATGGAGAAATAAGTAAATGTTAAACTGAAAACCTGTTCAAATAAACAAACGTAAAAACCTCATTTAAACCCTACAGTAAATGGACAAAATGAGCTTCAAAATCTTAATGGAGAACAAAATTGAGGCACAATGCTTCAAGCATCTGATAGCTTTACTGACCCATTTTATAGACTGCCTATTTACATTGCCTTGAAATTTTTACTTGGATAGCTCTTTAAATCCTGATGATCTTAGAAGAAACTAAATAAACTTTGTGGTGCAATTCTTAAAACAAATTAAAGTAGAAGCAGACTAAACTAAATGGTACATTTATTCTTCAAAAGCTCCAATTACTTTATTTATTTTGCAGATCATTTACACTGCAAATGTCATCATGCTTTTTTATTCTTTTCTAGCATCTCAATGTGTTTACTGGTTAATGAATATCTCAGCCTGCTAGTCAGAAAGTTTCCAGAAGTCAAGTTTCTCAAAGCCATTGTAAACAGCTGCATTCAGAACTACCATGACAGATGTTTACCTACAATACTTGTATGCAAAACTGGTGAAATAAAAGGCAGGTTCATTGGAGTAGCTGAATGTGGGGGAATACATCTTCAAGTGGAAGGTATGAGAAATACTTTTAAAAATTCACTTTATAGAAAATTTGATGTTGCTTGCAATCATTAATTAGATCTAAAAATCCCTGCTTAAGATCACTGAATCACAAAATCTTAGGGGTTGGAAGGGACCTCAAAGATCATCGAGTCCAACCCCCCTGCCAGAGCAGGGTCACCTAGAGTACATCACACAGGAACGCATCCAGGTGGGTTTTGAATGTCTCCAGTGAAGGAGACTCCACAACCTCCCTGGGCAGCCTGTTCCAGTGCTCTGTCACTCTTACAGTAAAGAATTTTTTTCTTATGTTTACATGGAACCTCCTATATTCCAGTTTGCACCCATTGCCCCTTGTCCTATCACTGGACGTCACTAAAAAAAGCCTGCCTCCAACATCCTGACACTCCCCCTTAACGTATTTGTAAACATGGATGAGGTTGCCCCTCAGTCTCCTGTTCTCCAAGCTAGAGACCCAGCTCCCTTAGCCTTTCCTCATAAGGAAGATGTTCCACTCCCTTCATCATTTTTGTAGCTCTGTGCTGGACTCTTTCAAGCAGTTCCCTGTCCTTCTGGAACTGAGGGGCCCAGAACTGGACACAATACTCCAGATGCAGCCTCACCAAGGCAGAACAGAGGGGGAGGAGAACTTCTCTTGACCTGCTAACCACACCCTTTCTAATGCACCCCAGGATGTCATTGGCCTTCTTGGCTACAAGGGCACATTGCTGGCTCATGGTCATCCTCCTGTCCACCAGGAACCCCAGGTCCCTTTCTCCTACACTGCTCTCCAACAGCTCAGCCCCCAACCTGTACTGGTACATGGGGTTGTTCTTCCCCAGATGCAAGACTCTACACTTGCCCTTGTTGAATTTCATCAAGTTTCTCCCTGCATAACACTCCAACCTGTCTAGGTCAAGGTGGAGACTATTTTTTAATACTTTTGTAGGGGAAAAAAAAAAAAAGTCTACAAAAAGCCAAAAAAAAATATGTAATTCTGTGGTAAGAATATTGGATAAGCATGGATATTTTGCGATCCACAGATATTTTATGAGATAAAGTTGGGTTGTCAAAAGGATGGCTCAATTTTTTTGTTGTTGATATGGAGTTTGGTCTTTAATAAAAAAAAAACCTATGTGAGAATTTATCGCAATTATCAGGATAAATTGTCATTTGTTTTTACAGAGCTTGAAAGGAAACTAGGGCAAGTTGGAGCAATAGAAACTAACTCAGAACTCAAAAAAGAACACTATAGATATGATGACACTGTCTGCTCATGAAGTCACCAGTACAAAAAGCAGTGATATGATGAAACCATCTATTACTTGAGAAAATTTTAATGAAGATATTTTTTTCTGACATAAATGAGGTCACAGTTTTTTTACTCCTTTGGTAAGCCTGAGACATTAAAAATAAATGAAAAAATAAAAGCTTTTGTTTCACTTGTGTATTTTTGATTTGTGGAAGAAAATTGATGTAGTAGATAAAAGTCATACTTACCTTTAGGATCATATAGAAGGCTGTCATTGACACTAGGAGTTTGGATTCTTAATTTAATACAAACTCTGTTTAAATGAAACAGGAAGGGGAAGATATTAGCTGGTGGATGATATTCCATACTTTCCTCCTCTTTTTATCCAGCATGGATGTGAGATACTCTTAATTCTCAGTGAAACCACTGTAGTGGAGCTCTGCTTTGCTAAGGACTTTCTCAGTTCCCTCCAGTGAAAAAGTGACCCAAAGACAATGATGTATATAGTGAGACGCAAAAATCATGATTTGGCTCCTATCATGGTTTGATTCAGGATCAGCAATTGAATGAGAGACAATAATGCTCTCAATCCCTGCCCTCTTTGACCCAGCTAGGGAAAGGAGAGAGAGAAGGAGAGAGAGAAGGAGAGACTTTCTGGATCAAAACCCAAACTAGACAGCTTTAATTAAATACTAATGATAAAAGAAATATGTACAAATATATACAAATATGTACAGGAATGTGCAAAAGCCCTATCACTTCCCCCACACCTGCAGCAACATCCCCAAATCCACTGACAAATAGTTTGCTTAAGAGATGTTCGAGAGTTTTCTCCAGTGTCCAGGATAATCTTCCCATTATTTTAAAACACCAACAGTTGGATCAGTTGTTTCTTCCTAACAAAAAATAAGTATATTCTTAGCAAAACAGTTTTCAGTACAACTGTAGACAAGCAAAACTACATGAATGAAGAGACCACACTTCTGATTCTGCATTTTTTATTAGTAATGAAATAAAATGGTATAGTACTGTTATTTTTCCAGTGACTCATCATACAAAATAATCTCAATGTGCTAATGAAGGTTGTTACACACAGTTGACATGGTTTATATCATCAGGATGTAGCAAGAAAAAACTTGGCACACAGATACCCAGAAAAAGAACTAGAAAATTCACATTAACGTGTTGTTTTTTTTCAGCCAGTAGGATACAGCTGCACTATTAGTAGATACCTACAGGCAGATACCACTTCTAGAAACTTTTACTGTGCAGATACAAAGAGATAACTAGTAGATGCACTTCAGAGATAGTGGCTTATTTGCCACTGGGAAGTACAAAGCTAACTAGTTTAAATGTAAATAGGTCATTGGTAACTTCAGATACGATTCCACAGTCATGTCAGGTGAATATCACTGTTTGTTGCTATAAAAGGAGAACTACCACCTGCATCCTCTCAGCAGTGAACCTCTCCAGTCGTTGCTGTGAGGTACAGCACAATACACAACTGTGCAAGTGCTAGTGTTGTCACATCAGTAGTAGTATGTCACTAGATAAGACAGGAAAGGCCCAAGCCTCTCCTTTGGTGACCCTTACTTCATGCAAGTGACCATGCGGTCATGATTATAGCCAGAGAAGATGCAGCAGCAAAATCCAATGGGAATCTGTAGGTTAAAAGCAGATGTTTCTGGTTCTTAGTTACACCATTTGTAGGAAAAAGGTCTATGAACGAATGTTAGTAAACCTTTCTTCACAAGGATTATGTAGATTGTGACAGGGTTTCAAGTCAGTATCTTTGTTAAACTCACTGATTTTAATATTCTGGAGTGATGTGAAATTCAGTTTCAAATTCACCTTCCTCAAACAGATTTGCTTTTGAGCATGCCAGTGAGGATCAAAAAGGAACATTCTGAGCAGAAGATTGTTCTATGGCTTTGAAGCATATCATGCACGAGATGATGATTACAGTTCTGTAGGAAACGTGGCTATAGTTAAATTAAGTTGGGTCTCGTGTAACCTTTGTGAGCAAAGCACAATTATCATTACACATCAGAGCAAACTCACATTGACAGTAAGAGCCAGAAAAATGGCATTTCTAGGTGAAGAATAGCTTCATAAAACAACCACACAATTTCTAAGCTTTCTGTCCTGTTCCTTCAGAGGCCTTGAAAATACTTTCAAAATAGAAGAACCATTAAAAAAATTACCTTGGTTAGGCCACAGGAAAACGTGTGCAATTTCCACAGCTATGCTGCCTGTTTTGATCTGGTCAGATCTTGAAATGCAAGATGTGCATCATTTCAAGATCTGGTCAGATCTTGAAATGCAAGATTGCAGTAGGTAGGTGCTATGCTCCCATACAAGCGAGATGTGAAAGGAAACAGGACAATAGCTCTACTTCGTTCTTCTGAAATATTACTGATGGTTACTAAATAACTTGGTATGTATAACCTGATGCTATTTTTAGCCTCTTGGTTTCTTGGCCATACTCTAGTTCTCGTAATTATGTATCTTCTCCTGGATTTTCCATTTCTGCTGTATCCTGTTCTCCTTATTGCATTTCATCATAGGATCATTGTCCTTTGCATGACTTACGAAATTACCAGTTTTGTTTCTATCACATTCTCCTCCACTGAAAACTAGAAATAGAGTATTATGCATCAATAAGTAACAAAAAAAATAAGTGGTTTTTCTGAGGCTTTTAGAGTTCTTCCAGTGGAAAAACTGAGCTCATGGTTAGCTCTTTAGCAGCATTACTGCTAAAGAGGATCCTGTCCCTACAGTATCTTTGCATAAGACTGGTCACAAGGTGAATTAAATGTGGAGCTTGATGTACCTGAAAAGTAATCCAGAAAGATCCATGAAAATTTGCAGCCAAGTCAAGTTTCTTGCTTCATTCCAGACACAAACACTCATTAAGCTTTATAGATACACAATCACTACACATCTAAGCACAGTCCAGTCTTGCAGTAGACAATACGGCTGGAATTTGTTACAGTTGTTACATAAAGACTGTGCAGTATCAGTCATCTCTCTGATTAACTGGTACCTGATGCTGTTTGCACTTATTAGCTGGACTGTTCCACAACTTAGTCAGCAAAGTCAATAATGCAGACACATCTTACAGTTTTTACAAGCTTGAAAAACACACACAAGAATGGTAGCTTTTGTCAGAGACATCCTGCAAACTCCTACTGCAGATCTGTCTTCCTGTGCTGAAATGATACATTTCCTGAAGGAATCCACACCACTTCACCATGTAGTCTGCCTAACAAAAACATTTCCACCCTATACATGCCACTTCAGTTTATCAGGTTCGTAATTACTTTTACCTTGCAGCCACACAAACAACCCCAAACTGTAAGGACTGGCAAATGAGAAGGATAGAATGAAATTGCCACTTTGCAGTCAGGAAGGTGGAAACTTACTTGCTGTGAGCCTTCCACCAGTTTGGTGCTCCAGAGTCCCTCAGGCCTCCTCGCCAGCCAATGTTAGCAGAGTACAATGCAAACTGCACAGAGCAGGCAGAATTAGTGCAGGGTTTTAAAGGTACAAGATTTTAGCAGGTGTTCAGATTTTAAACTCAGCTGGAGCAACTTAATTTAAAAGCTAAGCACGACTATCTCATAAAACTGGCGCTAAAGCCCTGTGTGCAGACAAAAGCTCTGAGACAGCCAAGTCCGTTCTCAGCCGCCCCGTTCAGTTCAACCAGCTCACGCCCCGCGATGCAGGAAACCACCGACCACCCGCAAGGACGGGCGGCCTGTATCCCTAAGTGGCCTGAGGTGGCCCGGCTGCTTCCTGGGAGCATCCGCGGCGGGAATGCCCGACGGGAATGACCGCACGAGCGGCACCGCCTCACGCCCGCCCGCAGCGGGGTTTGCTGGGGCTTCGCTGCTCCGGCCGGGGGCGGCCCGGCCCAAGGGAGCCCCGGCCTGCAGGGCGGGGCTCGGCGCACCCCGCGGCAGCGGCCCAGCCC